TCATGCTACTGTTATGGTGGGGACTGGTCGCAATAACTTTAACCTTGTACTCTAGTCTTACTCAAGAGAAATCATCACTCTTGCTGCAAGAAATCTGAAATAAACCAAGGACCATTTTTAATTTGAACAATGGTCCCACATTTGCCCCTGTCCTGCATCTTCATGCCCCCACCAATCTTCCCACACAGAACCACCAATTCCCAGATACTATACTGTAACTTACCCTGGAGACACTCTAGTTTCTTTGCAGGGAGCTGGGGATGAAAAATATAACTCTGGGTAACACGGATCCTGCTGATAACTGACAAATTTGTTGTTGAAAGAGGAAGTTGAGTGAATTTTACATCTCACCACAGAAACCTTATTTGTACAGACCAAAGGTAAGTCCCTTGAGCAGATGACGCTACTAAAGGTTTATTTTATTTCTATTTTATTGGTGCAAAGAAATTCAAAGAGCTGGGAACAAAAGGCTGTGCAAAATTTTAAAAAATATGCATATCAGCTTTCCTCACTGTTCCTCACATTTTATCTTTCTACCACAACCCATATGTCTACTTTTTTTTTACTAGATTCCAGTAGGCTCCATGGCAAGATGGGATTTTGAGGAAAATCTACAGGGAGTTTACCTAAGAACAAGAAAGCTGCAATTCCTTCAAGCATGAAGGGCACAGGGTGAAGATATCTCAAGATCTCTTGCATTACTGGCTTGGTAGTGATAAACTCCCCTAGTTTTTTGTTTTTTGGGGGTTTTTTTGTCTGTGAAGCTCCTTATTTCCCCTTCAATTTTGAATGATAGCCTTGCTGGATAGAGTATTCTTGGATTCAGTCCCTTGCTTTGCATCATTTTGTAAATTTCCTTCCATTCTTTTCTGGCCTGATACATTTCTGTTGAGAATATAAGTCAGAACTAAGAGCATTAGGACTAGCTTTGCTTACACTGTCCCCTTTATCTGGAGTGCACTTCTCTCAGTTTATCTCAAGGCTTAAAATTTAATGTGTAATTCAGTTATTTTTATACATTTTTTACTACCTTAGTATACTCAAAACTGCTTGAGGGAAAAGGTCATGGCTGACTTATTTCTGTATTACCAACCAGTCCAGCACAAGGCACTTTCATGAATGTTTGTTGAATGACTATTGAAGGGATGAATAAAAAAATAAATGTTCAAATAATGTATGAATTAAAAAAGTGAACAATGTTGATAACAGAGTCTCCCTACAGATTACTAAGATTTTGGTTTTTATGTATAATGTCTCTGGGGATTTTATAAGTATGCAAATAAAGAAAGGTCATACTCTTAGGGACTGTAGTGTCAGCCAAGTCTGAGTGTAATTCTGAGAAACAAAGCTTGCAAAGCAGCATGAACCTCTGTGGGCATGTAAAGGAACCTCATTCAGAAACCACGGTCAATGGGGAGAAAAGGATTCATATGTAATACTTTAAACGATAAGGAATTTTGAAAAAGAAACCATAGCCTGAAACTGCAAAGAGCCATCTGGGTAATAGCCATAGCAAACGAAAAAAAAAGTACTGCGTGTTAGGTTAAACAGTAGCATTTGGATTTTTGGGTAAGACTAAATAAAGAAGGGAGTGGATGACCGCAATTTTTTGTAAAAGGGCAAGTTGGACCTGCAACGTCTCCTTATAAAACTAGCACCCTTCAAGAACCAGATAGAGACATGCCTAATACTCAGAAATGTCTAATACAAAATTCAAGGGTGCAAGGGATGGAAAAGAGATACTTTCAGCACTAGAAACTAAGAGTTTGAACTGATTGATGAAAAAGCTATGACTGGCTGAGGTATATCAAATGAAACACGCTTGACCTTGCAATCTCCTTATTAGTTCTGATTTCATATATTTATCCAGCACCAATCTGTTATTAATTTGATATTCCGACTTGAAATCCTACAGAAAAGAAAATATACTGACAAGCCAACACACATTTCAGTTTATTTGGCAGTTCTGTTTCTTACTATAAATTATTAAATTGGATTTCTGGTACAAATTCATCCTTTGTGAATTTGAGCAGTATAAGCCAGGGTAAGATCTTACTCTGGACAAAAAAAACAAAACAGAACTTTTTAGTTTTAAATCCAAACCCTGGGAGAGAAAGATAAAAGGAATGCTTTCTTGACAATTAGCTATTAACACTACTTCCTACCTTCATTTCACAGACACCTTAACGTTGCTAAAAAGAAAGCCTGCCTGCTTACCTCATTTCTCTCTTGCACGCAAGTATCCTCTCCTTTCATTGGCCCTAAAAAGGGAAGCAAAATTATCTCAGAAGTCAGTGAACCAATTTAGGCAAAGGGAATTTCAACTCAAGTAAAGTTCTGAGTGTTAATTAAAACAAAAAGCTGATAATTTAAGAGTAATCTCAGATTAACTTTTAGAAGAGAGTCTACTAGTTACTGAGTATGACTGACAGTCTAGGAATCATTATCATCTCAACCCAGTTAATAAATATCCACTTGTAAGAGTCTAAAAAACAGTACAGCTGAAACAATTTGTCTATAGTTCTGAACTCTTTACTTTCTCTATGTATTCCCTCAAAGTTTACTTTAACTGGTGTATCATATATTTCCTAGGCTGAGGAAAGTTTAAAAATTGGTACTTCAATGGCTTTTAGGTCTTCTCTAACAGTAACAGTAGATTATGGGTGATAACTATTATTGAGGACATTATTCATTAAAATACACTGTTTCTTTTTGGAGGACCCAAGGGTAATACTTGATCGTAATATTAGGAAGAACTACATTTTCCCTAAATAATTTGTTTGATTTGGTTCTTATGGATACTGATAATTGTGTTAAATGTCTCTTTTTACATGTTCTGCTGAATAAACTGAAACTAATTTGTTGTCTACTGGTAGCAACTTTGGATATCTTTCTATACTGTGCTTTTTAAAACATTTTTATTAAATTTATTGGGGTAACATTGGTTAATAAAATTATATAGGTTTCAAGTATACAATTCTATAATACATCATCTGTATATTGCTTTGTGTGTTCACCACCTAGTTCAGTCTCCTTCCATAATCATATATTTGACCCCTTTTTCTATCTTTTACCTCCTCCCCACCCTCTACTTTTGGCAACCACCATACTGCTGTCTGTGTCTATGAGTTCTTATTTGTTTACTTATTTGTTTGTTGCTTTCAGTTTTATGTCCCACATATGAGTGAAATTATATGGTTCTTGACCTTTTCTGCCTGACTTATTTTGCTTAGAATGTGGGACATACTAGTATATGCAATGTAAACTCAATCATAAGAAAAGACAAAATACTGTCATTTGCAGCAACATGTATGGTTCATGAGAATATGGTGTGCTTATTTTTATTATTCAATTTCATGGCTCTATTCTTATGTTCTTAAACATCTTTTCTTTATTATTTTCTCATCTTACTATTGATTTGTATTATCTTATTATAGTATGAATCCTTCCAAACCACTTTTGGTCTTTTCTGGAACAATAGTGAGACAAAAATATTTTTAAAAAAGGAAACCTCGATTCCTTTTGCATTAGAAATAGTGAATATTAATTGCTTTAGATAAACTGTCTTCAAGAGTTTTCTATCTCTGCTTTTATATCCATAGACTATTTCTGTACTTTTTGGAAATAATCATTCAACAAGTACTTAAGGAGCTACAACAGTAAGCAATTTTATTGGATAATGAGTGGACAGGGTGGGATTCAGAAGCATAAAGTATATCCTTTTCCTCCAAGATTATACTTTAACTGACAAGTTGACCACTCATAAAATAATAGAAAATATAGCAGATTAAATGATTTATTATTAAGTTATATGAAAGGTAAGATGGTGAGTTCACTATGGGCTGGACCTGTTTGGAAAACGTTGGGTGGTCTTTGCTCAATCAACAAGTTTTGTTTAAGCAGTGTTCCCAATGGGTTAAGTATGTCTCACTGGAGGTATGCAATGTTATTTTTGGTAGTACAAGGAATAACTTTTTAAACATTTTTAAGTTATATATTTGTTTAAGATTTTAATGTATAGCACAATTAGCACTCATATTTTTTATTTCATGGAAATTATTACTCTGGATAAGGCTAAAGTAGGTAGTTAAGATGCAAAAAGTGTGATCTAACAAACACAAACAAATAAAGGTACAGACAGCAAAAACTATGGAACAACATCTGAATATCTGAAATTTGATATATACCAGTTAAAGAAAGGAGAGAAAGCAATGCTTTTCAGAAGAGAGAAGGAATATTCCCAAGGATATGAATGAAGAGTAACATATACTTAGTGAGGGAAAACTTTTGACTAAAGCACAAAGCATGCTAAGGAATGACAAAAAAGCTTGGAGGATGGAACCATACAAAGAAGATCTTAGTTTACAGAACCCATAGGGTACAGAAAATTTTTGAAGGGTTTTAAACATATGTAAGGTAGGGAGATAAAAAAATCTCATAGTACTTTCTATGTACTGGTCATTAGTCTAGGAAATTTATACACGTCATCCCATTTAACTCTCAGAACTATCCTATGGAGTAGGGGCTAATATTATATCCTATTTTACCCATGAGTGAATCAAAGCACAGAGAGAATTACCTTCTGTAAGATCATACAAGTAAGTGGGAGAGGCAAGATTCATACTAATTCTTTCTCCAGAGCCCAATATTTTTTTTTTTACCAGTGCCTGAAAATTGCTGAGACATAGGTGGGCAAAATAAATTGGAATAGGGGAAAAACAGGAGGTGGAGGGCCCTATTGGCAAATACATCAATAATTTAAATTTAAGATGATAAGAGCATGGATTAGGGTAGTTACAGTAAAAATGAAGATAGAAGGTAATTTCAATTTAATTATTTTTCTCAAAAGAGCACTTACAACTGTAATAACTAAAATGAAGGAGGAAATGAATCTTCAGGAGTAGGAACAAATCAGTCTTTAAGAGGTTTAATTTTTGCATATTTTTTCATTAAAACTTTTTTGAGTCATACACTGAAGTATCTTCCTTCAATGAAAAAAAAATACCTTATAGCTAGAAGAGGAGTTCATTTTTGTGAACCCCAGAAGTTTGTTTTGAAGACTGGTATCAGCACAGGGCAAAATTTTAAGCCACTCTCTGAGGAACCTAAAGTCCTGAAAAGGGAAATGGTTTATGGTTTTCTCTCACAGGATGTGAATTTCTAAATGTATTGCAGAGAATTTCCTTACAAAGAGGTTTCCTTCAGCTAAACAACTGGGTGGTTGTGTATACATGCTATGAATTAACATGAATGATAGAATTCCCCCCACTGCTTGGTGATTTATTTGATTATGTCACA